TTTTTTGACATTGCGTATTGTTAGTAGTTGATTTACATGCTAATTATACCCTTATTACTTTTGTCATATGCAGGGAGTGAAATTAATTTTGGGACAACCTGCGGTCACAGAAGCAAATTCAGATATGAATCGAATGTTTTGTAATCTTTTTTTGTTGGTCAACTGTGATTGCAATTTTTTTGAATAGGGTAATGATGTTAGCCTTTTGAGTATGTTAATGATGTTAGCATATTGTATTGAATCATATCCCTTATTTTTGTTTATTAGAATTATGTAACATTTGATTACATACGACTAATTTGTAAGCATTTGTTTCAGTAGGTTTGTTGGAAATCAAATAAATTAATTATGCAAATTTTTTAAAAAAATTGTAAAATGACCTACGGCAACGTTTGGCAAACATTGCGGTAGATGTCTACCGCAACGTTTGGCAACGTTGCGGTAGACCTCCCACTCTACGACAACACTTGATTTTGCAACACACGTTCAAACGTTGCCGTAGGCCTACGGTAACGTTTTTCGAACGTTGCCATAGACTGTTTTTGTTGTAGTGAACGTCTGCTAAATCGGTCCTTACCTTCATCATAATCTACATTCCGTGGGTTAATTACTCCAATAGTCACTGAACTTTACCGAAAGTTTCTACCGAGTCACTAAACTTTAAAAACTACGTGATTAGTTACTGAACTTTTGAAACTACAACCCCAGATGGTCATTGAACTTTGCAAAAAGTTTCCCAGATGGTCACTAAGAAAAATCGTAAGCATTGGTATGGGACAACTTCATCTTAAGAAGAAGAATCGAAGTCTTGTCTTGATTGAATATAGTTCTTCATTTTCCCACATTTCTATAAGTATAGAATTTAGGATCTAGAAGGATTTAGATATCATTATACTTAAATTCAAGAAAATTGAATGATCCTTTTGATTTGTTCACCTATTGGTATGGATTGATTTGAACCATTAAATTATACCATTTCAAATTTGGACACAATTTGACTATCTAGATTGCACCGTATTGTGATGGTCCATGACCCTTTTAGTAAGCACCCATTACACTTGAACGGTCTAACCCAGTCATTGCACCTAGTCAATGATTCAAATTGGTCATATCTTTTAACTCGCCACTTAGTACTTAGGTGATATTTAAATTCCCACACTTCCATTTAATCAACTCAGTATACTGTTGTAATATCCTCAAGACAAGAAGTAATTATCACCTGACTTACATATCCGCCTAAAAGGTCCCTTAAAATGGGCTAAAAACTCGTTATTAAAACCATTTTAGTAACCTTAGAGATTGGAGTAGCCCCCCTCCCCCTCTCCCACCAACTCACACATGCCTTTCAGCTTGTGTTCGTTCTTTCAAACCTTCTCCTTGATTAA